TTTTTTTTTTGTTATTTCTTTTTTTGGTTACTAATTTAGGTACATTTTTTATTTCCCTCATTTACTGTTATTGAACTTCATTTAGATTGTTTTTTATCTCATAGTTATGGACTGTTTTCATATGATATAAATCAACTTGGGATTCTATCCTTTAGACTAGTCATCTTTCTCAGCCTCACTTTGACATCTATGAGTGGGTGTATGTGCACGTACATGTGCAGCCATCATCAACAGTTCAATGTGAGATCCCATCTGATGCTTTAAACTTTCAACATTCTCTAATTTTACTTAGGAACAGACTTAGGCACCTCCATCTCCCAAATTCTTTGTCTTCTACTTCATTTTAGTCTTTGCTTTCAACCAAATTTCTAGAGTCCAGTTCTGTTCTTCATCTACAACACACCTTATAAATGATCTTGTCTCCCCACCTTGGTGTAGACAAAACTCTCTTCCAGACCCTAGTTATCCTCTTCCTTGATGACTGCAAGCACCTTCTGTCTCATCTGGATATGTGTAAATTTAGTGAATTGATTTGCAGTGCTGGAGCTGCACATGCCTTTTTTTTCTGTTACATTTTTCTGGTTGATTTATTCTCCTACACACCCCTCTGGAGCGCTGTGTCTAATTCTGGGCTTCCCTGTGCAGACATGGGTTTCCTGTAATAAGTCCAAGGAAGGGCCGCAATAAGGGACTGGAACATCTCTCCTCTTTGAAGCAGCTGAGAGAGCTGGGACTGTTCAGCTTGGAGAAGAAAAGATTCTGGTGGGGATCTTATCAATATATATCAATATCCAGTGGGAGGGTGTCAAGAGGATGGGGCCAGACTTTTCTCAGTGGTGCCCAATGGCAGGACAAGGTTAATGGGTCCAAAATGAAACACATGAAGTCTACTTGGATGCAAGGAAACCTCTTTACTCTGGGAGTGGTTAAATACTGGAGCAGGTTATCCAGTAAGGTTGTGGAGTCTCCATCCTGGGAGATACTCAAAATCCAGCTTGAGCAGCAGGTTCGGACTAAGTCATCTCCAGGGGGCCCTTCCAACCCTGAGTGTTCTGTGGAATGATGAGGGAGAGTAGAAACCCAACAAAGTAACAGGGTAAATAAGTAAAGTAAATTGAACTACAAAGGGTTCTGAAATTTTTATTTGGTTGTCATTTACCTGTCGTCAGGCAAGAGTGGCATTTCAGCTTTGTCTTCAAGATATTGGTGCTCTCTTCCATATTACTCCTATTGCGGTAAGCCACTGCCACCTGCAAGTCATTTCTAAAAGTTTGAGGACTCTGTTCAATGCAGGGATTCTGATCAAATTGTTACATGATACATGTTGTGTCTTGGACAGCCCATTTGCATGCAGAATCTGACACTTTGGGAGGTTACTTGTAGTGTCCACACAACACAATCAGGGTTATGGAGGGCTTTTACCTTAGTTTGGGTAGACTGTTCATTTGCCAAACTCTACTGGTGTCAGGGAGACTTATTCCTTGATGAAACCAGGAAAAATAAGACTGTCTTGCTGCCTTTTTCTGTCTTTCGAAGAGGCAAAAGTGAGGAAAAGGGAGTTTATTCATACACAACCAAAGTGAGTATGGTAAGCACGGTTTTTAAAAGGGCTCATAGAATGAGTGGACAGTGATGAACCCCTGAGATAAGGAAGCTTTGGGTACTGGAAGGGGACTTCATAGCTTTTGAGCCAGAGGATCCAGCTGAACTGCAGGACTTTGGTAAGCTGCTCTGTGAAAGAGTAAGAGGTCCTGCATGACCTTGAAGATGCCCAGCAGCTTCAGGTGAAGGATCCTGGACATCCCAGCAGATAGATTTACAATTTTTTGCTTGTTGGGGACCTAAATATAGCTTCTCAGGATGAACCCTTCCAGGTAGGCCTGAGCTTCCACGAGCGAGCACCATGGCTGTGCTTCTGTATGGTGGACTCTTTATTTCTTGCTGCACTTTGGGCAGAGGGTTGCAGAGAAGGTTTTAGACAACTATCAAGTGCTTCAAAGCAGTTACACACACTACATCTAGCAGTGTTTGCAGCTACATAGGACAGCTTTTGCAAAACAAGCCAGCACTTAGTAGTCAACTGGCACTTCATAGTCAACTGGCATACAAAAACTTTCTGGTTTCTGAATGGAAAAGCAAAGCTTAAACATATGGCTGTGCTGGCAGCATAAATTATTTTCCTGCTTAAGTGTCCAGAATTGCTTTATTCCTTCTTTACATTTCCAGAAGAGCT